TCATAATCACTGATGTGAGGGCTATTGGTCTGTAGTCCTTATGTTCTTTTGGGCAGCGGTTTGATGTGTGAAGTTTTCCATGACAGAGGGATGGTGTACGTGTCAATAGAACCCTGAAAGATGGGTTGCTTTACATCAGAAAGAACAAACATTAAAGGTACTGTAGGGCATGGGTCGGCAACAGGCGGCCCGCGGGCCATTGTTGGCCCGCCAGCAATAATATTTGGCCCGTAATTTTGAGAATAAAAAATAAAAAAATATTTTGAGATTTTTTTATTTTTTTTTATTTTTACAACATCGGACCGACAGTCGCACATATAGGCTATAATGTCCGAATAGAGAATCTACCTACACCTGAAGAATGCTTATTGTACTTTTATCTAAGTTGAGAATGAATGACATACAGCACAGGCACAATCAGGCAGCGGGGTGCACTGACGTCAATTAAAGTACTTATTTAAAGGACACCTATCATGCTATATTTAAATGATATATTGTAGGGCCATACCTATATAAGGTATATTTATACGTTTCTGTTTTCAAAATACCAAACAGATCATGCATTTTAGCCATGCCTCATTTCACTCTATTTGCTGTTCTCCAGCCCTGTTTTTGCAGGGGGCTGATTCTGTGAGCTGCAGCTGACCACGCCCCCCTGCAGGAGAGGGGAGCGTGCTCTGATCAAGTCAGAAGAGGGGGAGAAAAAGAGATCTCCGTCCTCCGTGTTTTATTCTTATATTATTATATAGAGTCGTTATTCATTTGTTTTAAAGCTCAATAAATAACAAAGAAGACCTTTGACCGGCACTTTTCTAATTTTGTCCGGAAGATTTCAACTTTAACGGACATCTTGACCGGCGAAAGAAAACCTAACTGAAACTCTGCCGCACGGTCCCCTCGTTCCTTGGAAGAGGCGGAGAGGTGGGTGTTTGTCATCTGCTGGTGGACTAACCGGAGAGAATTACAGTGCTTGCCTCGGGGAGGGAGAACAAAAGCCACAGCGGAGAATAAACAGAAGGGTAACCATGGCAACCATGCACGGGAAGTCTTCTTCGCTGCTTTTGTGGCAGACTACAGCGCCACTTACAGGCCTGGCATATGTACTACAGCGTCTCCAGCGCTTTCGAGCGGCAATGGCCGGCCGTGGCCCAACCCCACATTCCCCTGATAGGTGGAGAGTTGGCCCAATAGCCGTAGCGCCACCGTCCTGACGTCAGGACAGTGTTCAAATCTGGATCCGTTTTTATCAGATCCGTTGCAGCCCCTTTTTTAGAGATTTGGGTATGGAGGAAAATAGAGAGGGTTGTGTTTTCTGACACTTGGTGAGTTCCCTGGAACACCGGGGACACATATTCATGTATAAAAGACGTACAAAAGTGCATTTTGCATGATAGGTCCTCTTTAACTATTAAATACATTGAGTTTGAGTAAAATACTTGGTTACTGATTAATTTAGGTTATAATATATTAAATAAATTGCAAAGCAAAACATGCTGTAATTTATTTATTTTGTATTTTTTTAAAGGTTTTCAACCTGAAAGAATCCTAATGTGTCCTTGAAAAGTTGAAATAAAGAAAAGGAAAAAGGATTCCAGTTGTCCATGCGTCCTCTGTTGCCCCTCAAGCCTCTCAAATGTGGGCAAACACTCAAATAAATGCCAAAAACCCAGAGAACTTGACAATACTTATCAGAATAAAAGTATGTTAAATAACACTGCTACCTAGTTAATAACTCACTCAGTGGAGGCTCGTCCATTGAAGAAAGGGAGGACCATCCTCCCTAAAATTTCAGAAAAAAATAAACTTTGAAGAGAACAATAAATACACCTCAATTTAAAAGATAAGTCTGTTAAAATACAGATAATAGCCCTGACTTTTAACATGGGACTGAAATGGGGCTCGAGACGACGAGCCTCCCTTTGGGCGGGTCTATCCAGAGGCTCTGGATTGGGCGCCTATATCATCAGTGAACCAATCAGCGGATCTGACTGCGCATCAGAGTGTTGATGGGGAGGGTTATCAGCGATATCAGAGTTTTTTCTGAACCGGGGAACAGGGGCGCTGCGCCCTCTTACCAAAATCAATTCCTTGAATTAGGCTTTGATTATGTTCTGGCCCGCCATCTTGTGGCTCAGCAAAAAATTGGCCCACGGCCAAACTTACTTGCCTACCCCTGCTGTAGGGTATGTAATTTTGGAGAAACCAGCTCGAGTGCGCTAGAATTTGAAAGTACACAACCGGAAAAAATCTGCCTCTTCCTTCAGACTTCCTTACAGAGCCCCTCCTCCCAACACACACGAACGCGCACATGACCAATGAGGGCACAAGATAAGTTTGTGCACAGATGGAAGGCTGACAGGCAGGTAGGCCATCCAGTTATTTTAGGCGGGCCGGCTAAAATGATTGGTCGTGCTTTTTACAGTACTACGGCTTCCACAGATGACATTTTTGTATGTATTTATTGTCAAAGCATTTAATATATTCATTACTATCGGGATGTTAAGAGCATTCCATGGAATATAACAAAAAGTGTTTCTGAAATAATGGACATACCCCACCTTTAAAGAAGTGACTAACTGCATCAGTTAGGGTTAAAAAAACGTGTATTCAGCTAAAACATGTACATCACTGCAGTTATTATCCAGTGGAAAGTCCTTACCTACTGGCCTAGTTAAATCAAAGTATATTTTACGTTTTTTTGGCTGAGCAGTGAAGTTTTACACACCGTCTTATTTGACTTTCTCAGGACTTGAAACGGTTTATGGGGGGCTGTTTATGGGGGGCTTTGTGGGGGCAGACCCCCACAAAGAAGAAAAATGTTATACACACGTATAAGGTCATCATCTTAACAGTTGTTTATGCTCATCGAGTCATCCGTGACCAGAGCATCAAGTTGGCATGCCTATAACAGCTGAATGCGGCGATTACCATCTTGTTCATCAAATCGCCTCACAAACTTATTAAGATCTAAAGCTATGGTGCGTTTTGATTCAATGCTGAGTACAGCCAAACTTGACAGTATTTTCTCTGTCATTGTAGACTGCAAATACCTCATTCCTTCCGTCTACTTGGATCCGAATGCTTCTCGTTTTGCGCCGTCCCGTTCAAATGAAATCGCCGCCAATCATATTTCCACGCTCGCGGGCCGGGGGAGGGGTTACAAGGCTCGCGTCTTATGCTGCATTCACTTGCACTCGGACATTAGAGATTTTCTCTCATAAATGTCCGATGAGCCACAACTTTTCTTTCAAAACAAAGCTGCCAACCGGGGGTGGCAACTAGGGTGGCAAGGCATTTTTCTGAGGTGGCAGCTGCCACCCTATGCCACCCCGTAGAACCGCCACTAAACTACCAAAACTCTTAATTCAATTTATGGCATTATATTAGAATTGAACACTCTGATACAAAACTGTCTGCACGGACACCACTAGGGCTTGACCGTAAAATATGTATGTTCCTATGTTTACTTTACATGCATAAGCAATGATTATGTATATGTGATTGGACCAAGTGTTTGACTGTGCTGTTGTGATACTTCCCAATGCAGTGTGGCGATAAACCGAGATGCAACCGAGAATGACTAAGGAGAAATTATAGACAGAGGATCGAGGAGAGCAGGCAAAGGAGGAGTGCTCATTAAAAAGTTGCATGGCTGCTGTAACGAAGAGAGATGGAGAGAGAGGCAGAGGAGACAGGGAGACCACCAGAGACAAAGCTAACAAAGGACAGAGGCAAAATAGCTCGGTAGCAGGAATCAAAGAGTGGAGAAAGTTTGCATTGGAAATGGAAGAATAAGGTGAGGAGAAGAGGGGTAAAGAAGAGAGAGACATTACATGGACAGCTCATGAGAGAGGTGGAAGGACTGGAGAAGACAGAGGGATTCCCCGATGGCATCTCATCTCACTCTCTTTCTTGCTCTCCTTCTCCCTATTTCCCTCCTTTTTTCTCCCAATAAATCATTCTGACTTCTCCTTAACCAACTCATTCCCAGCAGGCGGCGAGAAAACTGTAACAATCTTTCTCCTATCTGCTTTCTCTCTCTTTTTCTCCCCTCTTTTCTTATCTCTCTCTCTATCTCTTTTATGTCTTTCTCTCTCATGCACAGGGTCACTTATAGAGAACAGAGATGCTGTGGGTCATTGTGCAATCATTACCTGGGAGGAGTCATATTCCAAGGAAAATGATACTGAATTCATGCTAAAACAATCACCAAAGCCAAATGAGTCCACGCATCATGTGTGTTTATGGGGGTGAGTGTTTTTATCAGTTCTGTGGAAGTCACACATTGAGAAAGAATTGTGGTGCAAGAAGTAAAAAAAGCAGGAATGTACAACACACACACACACACACACACACACACACACACACACACACACACACCACATCTCTAATGCACAGTTTGTGGCAGTGGAGGTGACGCAAATGACATGTCTCTCCAGGACAGAGCTGCAGGAAATACAAATTACAATATGAACCACATCACGTTTGCATGAAACGTGGTTTAACTCTGATATAACTTACTCTAAAAACAATTCAAAAACCTACCGTATTACAGCTATTTTCTCTGCTAGGATTGTAGATGATAATATGGCTGTATTACACTGACTTACAGTGTCTTGTGGATCCAATGAGGCTGGTAGTGGAGAATCCTTGCGTGACATTATGGGTGTTTTTAGCCTTTGGTGATAAAAATGAAAAAGCATGTGTGTGTGTGTGTGGCTGGGGAGGAGGGGGTGTTATGTGGGGAAACAGTCTGCAGATTGTGGCTGCAGACATGTCTGACAGAGGGGGGGATTTCAAAGCCTTTTCTTTTAGACCGGCAATGGAGGTCGAATAGTTGAGAAAAAAAACTTGAAGTCGCAGTGATGCCTGATGTGCTGCGACTCGGCCACAATATTGGAGGAATGCGCTTTTGTCGCTCGCAGGGGGTGGAGTTAGAAAGTGAACGAGAGCTGCCTACCAAACAGAGAGGGGAGAAGGAGGAGAGAGAGAGAGAAAGGGGAGAGACGGGTGGGCAGGCTGCTCACCGTAAACGATGGTTGTCGGATAGAGTCTTGAAGACCTAATGAAACTGGCTGAATTGTTAGCAGCGATTAAAGAGCTCCGCGTGCTTTGCATCTCTCGGATCCTTGGAAGGAGAAACTGCAGCAGCACGCAGATAAAGAACAGTTAAAAAAAAGAAGAGGACTTTAATTTTTTTTACTATTTATTTCTCCTCTCTTTTTTCTGCAGTAAGCCTTTTCACGGCAGCAGCAGCTCTTTCCCAGCGGACAGGACCGTTTCATGCCAGGTGGAAGACCGACCTCTCTCTTGGACCCCATACCGGCCTCACACTCTCCTCTGGCGGGCTCAGAAGCAGCAGTTCCCGGTGAGAAGAGGGGACCAGGCAAAGCTCAGTCTTTAGGGGGACCCGCTTACAAGGACTCCCACAAACCCCCCTTGTTTGAAACCCCAGGATTTGTTGGAAAAGGGAGGGGGGTTCGCAGTTAGGTTTAAGGGGGAGGGTCCTTATTCACTTTACTCCACAATAGACTTTTACAACAGTTATTAACCAGAGTTGTATAGTCTTTGAACATATCCGTTTCTTTGCATGCATGAAGCTTTTGTTTCCCCCCTCTCCCGTCTGTTAGGCATTTGCTGGGATGTTTGAGTCGCGTTGTTTGGTGGGGTGAAGGGACCGAGAGAGTGGCCGAAAGACCGAAGGGACGGAGGCCGAGAGAGGAGCCGGGAGCATGGCTCTGATAGTGCTGTCTCTCTGGGTGCTAACGAGTCTCACCTGGGCGGACGTGATCCCGGTGCCAGCCAACAGGCACTCCGTTTACTGGAACAGCTCCAACATACAGTAAGACCCCCTCTCCTCATTGTGCATATGTGTGTGTGCGTGTGTGCGTGTGTGCGTGCGTGCGTGCGTGCGTGTGTGTGTGTGTGTGTGTGTGTGTGTGTGTGTGTGTGGTTCGATGCCATCTCTTTTGATCCATTCTCCACCTGTTAAAGGGGGGGGGGAAATGTCCTGATTTGGTCCCCCTGTGCTGTCAGGTTCACACATTCACATTTTCAGTTCTGCAGTGTTTTTGATTATGCCCTTCTAATTATCTAGGATGATTGTAAAATCCACTTTCTTCATCTGTATTTTTTTTTGTAAAGCAAAAACATTTTTTAAAGGAATTTAATAGGCCTGTCATGTTTCTCCTGTTTGGTGAGGCTATTTTTGAGCCTCAAAGTGCTCTGTCAGACCCCTACTGTGAAGTCAAGGTGGCTCCAAACCAGCTTTTTCAACACTTCAAATTGCACAACTACTCAGGCATATTTAGTTTATTTTCCTCAGCCTAGCATCAATCTATGCATATATTTCTATTTAGTTAGTCAATTCCCTCATATTTCTCTCCCTTCTCCTATACCCTTAACCGAGGAGTATAAAGAAAAGGAGCATGTGACTCTTTCCGTTCTCACCTCTTTATCATGTGGCTCTCCTCTCTCAGGCTTTCAGGGCTCTTTCTCTGTCTTCTCCTCTATCTGGTTCAATTAGGAGCACTTCTTCATCCTGACCCCATTGTGTTGTAGCAGTGTCACTATTCAATCTCTCCTTCTCGCTCCCTCTTCAACTTGCTCTCTTCTTCTAGCTGTCTCTAACCCCCTTTCTTGTTTACACTCAGTCCGTTGGCCTTTTTGTTATCCTCCTAATCCCTCGCTCTTTGCCTTTATCTCGATTCAAGTTAAAACGCTTTTTTTTCTCCTCACTCTCCTTTTTTTGTTGAAAGCTGCCTTTTTAATACTGTCCTCCTGAGTCCATGGCTCTGCTGCTGGATCCTAGCGTCAGTCTGCTGCAACACACTGTAGGCTTATCTTTCGTCTTACAATCCACAGTCAAATCTTGTAAATTTATGTTGAATTAGCGTTTCCACATGTCTCAAACTGTACATCTACATTTGCTTCTCTTCTGCCCAAATTATGCAGATAGAATTGTCTTAATTTACAACTGCATTCACAATAAATATTGGTGAATTTTCAAGACTTACGTTTAATGAGTAATTAAGCTAGCTGTGCAATGTAATGAATCTTGATTTTCTCAAATACTTCGCAATATAATGCAACAATCAACCAGCATTTTAGGTCTAGGAGGTGCACGAGAGCGCACGTCACACACTAACACACACCTTCCCTTTTGCTCTCCATCTTGTAGTGAATCCTGTCTATGTGTAAGCTATGTTTCGGCTAGCAGGCAGCCCTTATAAAATCTCAGTTTGCGGTATTAACGTCTTCAGCTGAATTTACTTGGCCCCTAAGACGGGCAGCCAGATATACAGCAACTCATATTTTACGACTGCACTTATTAAAGACGTAAACAAAATGAAATCTCAGAAAATACACTGTTGTTTTAGCAGGAGGATCGATGATTCTGTCCGCCGACAATAACTGTAGGCCGATGATTTTAGTTTACAGCATGAAATAAAGCTGTGAGAGGCAAGTGAATTTATAACATAATTACTTAACATGAAGTATTGCCCCAAGTAATAGGAGCGGAAAACATAAGGTTATTGGTCGTGGTACAATACTGTAAACGGTATTAGTTTTCCTGAATGTGTGAAAAAAAAAATTCCGCCATATTTTAGAAAAACGAACATATTTTCGCTGTTAATGCATTATAGCTGATATTTTTCTCTCAATGTGGGGGGTGTTCCTTTTCAATTTATATACAGTGATCTTTTTTTCCTCTGTAACAATTTGATAATAAATGCAAATGAAATTCCACCTTCGGTTTCCATATCAGAGACAGAAGTTGATTTAGATAAGATGTGGAAGAAATGCTTCAAGGCATGGAGGAAAAGGGAATAAGTGAACCCGGGACCTCGGTACAATCAGCTCAACGTAACATGAGCAGCTTTGACCTTGGTAAAATGTATACTTAATTAAGTAATTTGTCAGCTGCTTTTTGCTGTATGCTCAGACTGTAAAGTAGAAAAAAAGGCTGCAGATGATTTTTCTGACAATGCAGTGGGAGAAGTGGGCAGTCTGGGGCAGCCTAACCTTTAACCTGACTGTCCACCAGGACCTGAGTGCTGCAGAGCCCCGCAGTCTCTCCTCTCTCTTGCTCCACACGTTCACTGCCAATACGCTTTCAATCCCAGCGGCAGAATATTCTCAGCCCCTGCATTGTGAGTCTTGGTGTGTGTGTCTTTTATAAAAGGCTGTGGTTAATTAAAGAACACTGCATCTCTGTGGACCTGCCTCATCCCTGATCTTCCCATCTCTCCCTCTCTTTCTCTTCCTCAGTGCACACATACACAATGACAATATATGAGCAGTGAATGGGGATAACGTTTTCAATTCAGCTTACTTATTAAATTAGGAGACAGGGCACAGTGACAAACAAAAGGCAGATAAAGTGTACGATAACCTGTGTAATCTGCTCATTCATACACTTCCTGGACATTTTTTAACCGTACAGATCCTATTTCCAATCTTTATTTTCATCTCTGCAGTCACACATCCCACATTTGTAGGGTTTACTGGCACGTCTCTAGCCGTTGGCAATCAGCCTCTCTGGAGTTTCTCTAACTCACAGTGCAGTGTAGAGGTTTAGAAGGCCAATAATAAGCTGTAGTATAGCTGTCAGTTTGAGTGGTAAACACATTGTAAAGCCTCAGGACCCTGCAGTTTCTCAACCAGCTTCTGACCCCGAGCCACTCATCAACCACCAGAGACAGGCTGGGACTGTTACCAAGGATTAACTGCTTCACACACACTCGCAAAGATCAGCATGTGTGCTTATTATTGTACATTTGCATATGTATCTATGATGTTCCGAGTACACAAAAAACACATGTCCCCGCTGTGTACTTTCTTTACTTTAAGAAGGATAATTTCCCACGTTTGCGTCCTTCACAATGGCTCTTGCCTTTGCCTATCAGTCAATTGTCACCAACATCCCTGGGCATGAGCGTGTGTGTAACAGTGTGGGTTTTTGTGTGTGTGAGAACTCCGCATGTGTGTGTTTACCCTGTTACAGATGTCTCTGTTCATCGATGGGTGACTGAAACAAAAACAAATCCATCAGTCCGTTAAATCACACATTATCTTCCACCACCTGGCAATTAACCACCGCTGTGAGTATGTGCTCATGAGTGTGTGCGTGCATATATATGTTTATGTGTTTAATCTAATAAGGCAGCAGTGAACTGGTTTGCATAATGGATATCTGGTGATATCTCTTAATTTATCAGTTGTATATTTCGGAAAGTGGTTAAGTTGCAAATAAACACAGGCATAAGCATTTCTAGACAGCAGTGTGTGTGTATCATTGACACTGTCACCTCAACGCATGCCACTGGAATGAGACCAGCTATGGCAAGCAGAATTTGCTTCTCATAAAAATGCACATGCATGTGTGGTAATCGATGCTGATGTGGAACTTGTTTTATATTCATCCGACTCTTCAGAGTGTGCAGAGACACGTCACGCAGGGCAGGACAGAAATAATGCACGAATATATGAGAAGAGGTGAGATAGAAATGCAATGGGACTGGCAAGGGGAGAGAGGAAGTCAGGAAAAACACAAACAGACTTTGTGTAGAATGATAATAGAGCAGGGGGAGGAGGGTCATCATGATAATAATGCTTGGCCAGGGCCCTGATCCACACACTGAGTTCTCACATTAGACATCATAAGACAGGTGGAGTTTGTGTGTGTGTGCCTGACAGAGAAAAGGGAAACACAGACAAGAGGATTAAGCAGACCAATCAACCATCCCCTCGACAGCAACACAAAACTATCCGTCTCCCAGCCCCACTTAGGACAACAACATTTACATTTATGAATATCTGCACAAAGGAGAGTATTACTCACTCACTATCACAAGGCACACGGCCCGCCTGTGCATGTGTGTGTGTGTGTGTGTACGTGTGTACAACTAATCCATCATAGGCGTTCGCTCCATCGCTACATATGTCAGCCACCGCTGTGATGTGTTTTTGTGCACATGCACCCACACACACACATAAAAAAACCTCAGACACAGCCTCAGTGATCATAATAAGAGTTTTATAGACACAGCTATCAGGTTGTTCATTAGTAACACATAATAAGGCCACATGGTGTGTGTGTGTGTGTGTGTGTGTGTGTGTGTGTGTGTGTGTGTGTGTGTGTGTGTGTGTGTGTGTGTGTGTGTGTGTGTGTGTGTGTGTGTGTGTGTGTGTGTGTGTGTGTGTGTGTGTGTGTGTGTGTGTGTGTGTGTGTGTGTGTGTGTGTGTGTGTGTGTGTGTGTGTGTGTGTGTGTGTGTGTGTGTGTGTGTGTGTGTGTGTGTGTGTGTGTGTGTGTGTGTGTGTGTGTGTGTGTGTGTGTGTGTGTGTGTGTGTGTGTGTGTGTGTGTGTGTGTGTGTTGCATAGAGACGTCATTAATTAAAAGCAATAGGAAACACCTGTGTGATTGATGACTACTGTTTGCATAATAAGATCCAGGTCTCTCTTTCACTCTCTCTCTCTCTCTGTATGTGCATGTGTTGTTAATACATTTTTCTGATTGGACAGGTGTGGTATGTGAGCCGAGACATGTACAAAAAATAAGAAAAAGAAAACAAATTAATTCTTATCCTTTATTTCTTTTTCCTCTTAGGGGATGAGCTAGATTCAGTAGAGTGCTCCCCCCTCTCTCTTCTTCTCTCCTCCAAGTGTCTAATGGTAAAGCACTCCTGGGGTGTTGGTATTTTGGGAGCTATGTGGTTTAATGTGAACGTTGTGAGACTCTTTCTCTGTCAAATTAACTTGGACTAAATCTTTCCAGTGCTAGAATATATGTTCCCTTTGTTGTCTGTTTCCTCTTTTCTTTTCCTCATCCACACTTTCA